TTTCTTTTTAAATATATCTTCACTGATTTCAGAGAGAGGATGGGAGAGGGAGAGATAGAAACCTCAGTGGTGAGTCATTGATCGGCTGCTTCCTGCATGCCCCACGCTGGGGCTCAAGCCTGCATGTGCCCTCACCGGGAATCGAACTGAGATCGATGCTCAACCGCTTGCTGAGTCACACCGGCTGGGCCAGAGTAACCTTTTCAACACGATTCAGATCCTGTCATTTCTCTACCTAGAAACCTGCACTGACTTTCTGACAAATCCTCAGTCCTTAAATTGCTTCCATACTCTGGCCTCTACCTAGCCCTCCAACCGGTGGCCCTGTTCCGTTCCTGCAGCCACACTGCCTCCTCGTGTTTCCTTGTGGGCCCTTGTGCCTCTTGCCTCCTGGCCTTTGCAGAGGTGTTTCTGCCCCCTGGCAGGCTGCCATCACCTGCCCCACTGCAGTTACCTCAGTCAGCTTTCAGCTCAGAAGTCACATAGATCGAGCCCAGTGTTATACACCTTCATGGGCCCCGGAACTTCCCATTCGAGTACATGTCACAATTTTTAGCTGTGATTATTTCACCACCCCTGTTTGACTATATGCTCTTGGACAGAGTGTACATCCGCTTTGCTTGGCAGATACCTGAAACACCTGTGCAGCACCCAGCACATAGTAAGTGCTGGCTAAACACTCCGCCTCAGTGAAGGACAAGAGAGGCAGTGTGACCACATATGCTCCAAACTCTGGGCCCAAAAACCTCTTCCCATATTGGCCCCCAAGGAGCTCATTCNTATAATGCCTATGTTTTCTAAGTTTTCTCCTCTTACCATTGTCTGAACCTCCTCCTGTGACCCTTTGTCCCATGTCTTCCCTCCTCCCCTGCCCTGTCCCTCTGAGGCCCCACTGACATGACTGACACATCATGTCAGTCATGTCCCATCTGATACCAGAGCCCTCTTGCTTGATCCCTGGTCCTTTCTCAGCTTGTTCAGCCCCTGCTGTGAAATCTGAGGATGACCGAGGGCTGTTAAAAAAACAGAGGAGGGTAAATATCTCGGTGTCAGCACCACCCACAGCAGTTCTGCACTGAGAGCTTTTGTAATCCCAGGTCTGGTTAGCATGCTCCGAGTTTTTATAATCAGTAATGCAAACAGCTGTAGGTCAAAAGAAAAGCTATTGCACTCAAAATAATAACACGAGAAATAAATTAACTCTGAAATCACAAGGTCAAAGAATTGCCTTAATTCACTAGAAAGCACGAGAGGCCCCCACCCCTTTGGCTCAAGATGCTGGGAATTTGGGAAACTGGTAGGCTTCCCTCCTTGTTTTCTCTGAAAGGACACCATTAGAGTAGATCTTTGAACTTCCTTGAAGAAACTGTCTCTAGGAACTATTGGCCTTTGTCTAACGTGACTAATGAAGGCAGATTTAGGAATGTGACAGTGGCTGCTAGGCAGCTCACCAGCGTCTGTTCTGGGCCACACGTGGTTACTCCTGGAGAGGCTGCCGAGTGCCCCGTGTGGTCCCTGGGCTCCTGAGGATCCTGATTCATAGATGATTCGATTTGGGTCTTTGAGTGGATGATGAATAGATGAGATTGTGGATTTAGGGTTGATGCTGGAATGATTTGGGGGATATCGGATGAATGTATATTACATATGGGAAGGACATTAATTTGGGGGGCCAGAGAGCGGACTGCCATGGGTTGATCCGTGTCCTTCCGCCCAATTTTATTGGCATCCTAACCCCCAATATCTTAGAGCATGACCTTATTTAGAAGTAGTCTTTACAGAATTAATCAAGTTAAAATGAGGTTGTTAGAGTGGTCTCTAATCCAGTATGACTAGTACCCCAATAAAAAGGGGAAATTTGGACACAGATTCTCCCCAGGAGAGTCTGTCAGGCAGGTGGCCTGTGTGTGAGCCCCTTCTGGAACCCTGAAGGTAGTGGGAAATAGGCAGAATTTGAAGGCAGAAAGTCCCAGATCCAAATTCTGGCTCTTCCGTTACCCCATGACTTTGGGCACTCGATATGTAAAAAGGGGGACATTGTACCTTTCTCAGGGTTACCTAAGGATGAACTGAGACTGTGTGCAAACTATGCCACACAGGTGGGCACCAGGTAGGTGGGAGCTGTTCTTGTTATTGCTGAGATTTGGGTGTTTGAGTGATGAGTAAGTGCCGTTACTTATGTCGTAGTAACTTTCAGCCTGCAGGTGCCCTCTTACCTGCCGGGACCCTACTTCTCACCATTCATGACTTTTATAGCTGGACAGACCCTCTGAGACCTGCCCAGCCATCAGAGCTTGGTCAGCACCCAGGGCCACTGGCAGTTCCTTCTGCCTGGTGGTTTCCAAAGCTGACCAGAGTGGCAGTGATCTGTCGAGTGTGGGCACCAGAGGCCTGAGCTCCTCGCCTTGCAGAGGGAGAGCGTGAGGTTGCATACACTCCGCTCCATGAGCTGTGCAAGGTCACACCGCCGGGCAAGTCCAAGGCCAGACCACTAGCTCACAGTGGCCCGCAGTGCACCTTCCTGTTGACCTGTTTGCGTCCCCTCTGCTGCCTGTGGTACAGGTCTGCCTCCCCAGCCATCTCCTCCATTGGCCTCTGTGTCGCTTTCTCTTTCCTTCCTTTCATACTAATGTGTATGTGGGAAACAGGACTAGCTTGTCGCGGACACAGTGGGCATAGCTGCCCAGGGTCATTTAGAGCCCCTCTCCCACCCACCCAGCACCCTAGTCCTGCACAGCCATTGACCTGAGCCTCCACTGTTCATACCTGCCCCAGCACTGCATCCCTGGCAGGGGAATGTTTTCAGGTGATGTCATCCAGGTATGCTTTAGTCAAAATGAAGCAGTTGACGATGCTGTGACAGGAGAAGGGGAGAAGGGCTGAGGCTACTGAGTGGTGGCTCCCACCAGCCTCTGCCCAGCCAGGAGCCAGGAAGGGAGAAGTAGGGGAGGAAGAACTGAATGCAGGTGTGACTGTGACTGGCTGGGCCTGTTTGAAGCACATGAATTGTCATGTCCTTTCTCATCTCTAGGCCTTTGCCCATGCTGTTCCCTCTGCCTAGAATGCTTTTCCCTACCCCCTTCTTCTGACTAGCTTCAAAACACATGAATTCCTCTGCAGGCTCTTCTCCATCGCCGCCCCTACCTGCCCCCAGGCTGGGCATGCACTCGTCTTGTGTGTTTCCATGTCCTTAATCCAAAGTTCTCATGTGGCAATTCATTGCCTGTTATGTGGGTATCGGGAGTCCTGTAAACTCGGGGGGAGTTAACAACACAGTTTGTTCTTATTTTCTTTATACTGATTTAAATCCAAATCTGAGTCTATATTCCACTGGGCTGGCAGGGATTCCATTTCAGTCCGAATTGGGGGCCCAGCCAGCTCCTTGGGGTCAGTAGGAATCTGAGAGGGTGATGTTGTGCTTGGAAAACAAGGGAGGGGTCTAGACATTTTAGTGCATCAGGGTGGGACTTGACGTTTCTGCGCCAGGCACAAATCATGGTCTGTGTCCAGGCTGGGACCTGGGGACCCGTGGCTGGCCCCTCTCTGCACTCCCTCACGTGGTCTTGCCACCAGTGCGCTCTGCTCGTGAAGCTGCAGGTGCCTGTCCCTTTCCGTGGGAGGACAATGGCAACGCCCTCTCCATCCCCCCCACTTGCTGGGTCACCTCCTTGAGCCTCCCCAGTGACTGTAGGGTGTCACACAACGGATGTTCCCTTCATACCGCTTCTCCTTGACATTGCATGAACTGTGGAAAGGCCACTGTGATGGGAAACCTGCCTAGACAGATGGCCGCGACGAGTTGTCTTGCTCCGCTCGCTTGGATCCCCAGAGCATTCCCGGGACGGTGCCTGCGCAGCGGGGCGTGTGAGGACGGGCGAAGGTGGGAACTGGCCCTGGGTGGGCCAGGGCTGCCGCTTAGGCTCGTGCTGGTCACACTGTGCAAGTCCGGAGGATCCCACTCGGACAGATACGGTCTTTATTAAGGTAGCTTCTGGCAGGTGTTCTGTCAAGTGTCTCGGGAAGGAGGAACTTTTTCTAATTTGTACACATTCATAAGGTCTAGTGGTAGCCTGTTCCTTTTCCACAGTTCCTCATTCAGTTCCTTAACAAGTGATAAGACATAAGCAAAATATTGCAAAATCCACATCCCTTTTTGTTTGATAAAGATTTTGTGAGGTGCCCTGGTGCGGTGGCTCAGGTCCCGCACACTGAGGTTGCGGTGCCTCGCCGGTTGGGGCACGTATGGGAAGCAGCTGGTAGATGCATCTCTCCCACACTCATGATCTTCTCTCTCCCGTTCTCTCTCTCTCAGATCGATTAAAAAATATATCCTCAGGTGAGGATTTAAAAAAAATTAAAAAGAAGATTCTGTGAGGTGTTTTTTTAGAGAGAGAATGGAAGGGAGGGAGGGGAAGAGAGAGAGAGAGAGAGAGACTCCACACACGCCCCGACCGGGACCAGGGATTGAACCTGCAACCCAGGAAAGTGCCCTTGACCGAAATCGAACCCACAACCCTTCTGTGCTCGGGCCGACGCTCTAACCACTGAGCCACGTTGGCCAGGACGTTAGTAATTCACATGAACCACATGCAGACACTTAGCATTTTAATAAGATGAAAACGGATTGCAGAAGCGCAGGAAATCGGGGAAGAAGAGAAGCCCAAATTAAATTATTCCCGCTTGAAGTTATAATCCAGCCCACTATGCAAGAGAGTCGTTCCTGTCATGTTTGCAGGATTTGTGGTTATTTGTAACCCTGAGTATTTGTAGATATTTATAAATAAGTTGTTCCAAAGTATGGTTTTGAAAAAATTAAAGTTTGTCTAAATCCCTTCCTGATGCAGTCTGAACCCATCCCTTCTTGTTTGGCCTCCACTGATGACTGGAGTAAGTTTTTCTTGGCCTGACCACGGTGGCGTCGCCTGCGGGAAGACAGTTCTCGAGGACACAGTGGTGCTTTTGCATTAAAGAAAGCTCTCCCTGCTTGTGCTTTCCTGCAGATCGCGTGGCAGAGGAGCCAGTGGAAGACACAGACCCTAGCACTCTGTCCTTCGCTGTGGTAGGTTACAAATTTCACACTGACCGTGAGGACTCTGCTGCTCTTTTTTCAAACCCTGTTATTTCTTTACCTTTTTTATTACCCCGTATTTACAGGAAGATCAGAAACCCCAAAATGAGATTCTCTCTAGATGAATGCCTTTATCTTGGTAATCAGTGTGACTGTAAGCTTCGGGTTTCTCCAGCTAGAAATGGCTTTAGACTCCGCTCTTGTCGTGGCACCTAGCAGAAGTGATCTCAGATTATGCGAGGTCTTTGGCTGCTCGTGTCCCTTTAATGCTGTTCTGTTTAATTGCCCCATCTTCAAAATTCAAAGTATCTAATTGAGATTGAAGAAAAAGTAGGGACAACTTACGGTGGCCGAGTACTGCCCATATGCCAGATGGGCACTGGGTTTAATCTCCACAGCCACCCTAGAGGTGGGTGCTGCCCACTGTATAGATGAAACAGGCACAGGGGCTGGGGTCAGCTGCCCTACTTGGAAGCAGCTCAGGAGGGACTCCACCTGGCCCCGGGGTTCTGATCCCTACCCCGCCCTCCCGTGACCACTCTGCGGATGTCTGCTGCCCCAGTCTGCCCTGCCCTGTACACCTGCCATGCCACTCTGCCAGCCACCTGGCCTTGCTCCTCTGTGGCCACCATCTGCAGGCACTGTGTCCTTCCTCTTGGTCCCCTGGGCACCCTCTAGGCCTGGCTCAGATGTCAGTCTCTCCAGGAAACCTGCTCTTGCCCCAGCCTGTTCATTCATGCAGGCACTTGCAGATGTTGAATTAACACTGAGTCAGAATCTGGGACACAGAGGTCATGGTCCCTTCTCTGTCCCTTGAGGAAACAAATACTCTACAAAGAGCCCGGGAAGTGTTGTAACACAGGTGTGTTTTCTGGGGAGCAGTGTCGAGAAGGATTTGGTTCAGGGGAAAGCTGTCTGACTTTTAAGTTCTCTGTGATTGATGATTGATTGATTGATTTCTTTTGTGGAAGGGGGTTGGAGGCTTGTAGAGGTCCCGAAACTTGACTGCCCAGCTCCAAAGAAACTCCAAGGAAAGACATTTAAAGCAAAGCCTTTGGTTCCACATTTGTTTCTTTTTTCCCTCCATCCACAGAAGACATGGGTGAGGCCCACGGGAGAGTTGGGAGGTGCAGCTCAGTTCAGGCTGGAGAACAGCGGAGACCCAAAGGCCCAAATGTGGGGACAGTGGGAGCTGAGCTGGGTTAGGGGACTGGATGGGGGAATCGGGCTCTCTCTTCTCATGTAAGCTCAGAGAACGACTGCATTGTATAATCTGAAGTCAGCGTTTCTAGAACATTAGACACCTGCATGTTTGTAGGTGCCTCCAGAGAAATATGTGAGTGTAAGAGCATTTGCTGTAGACACTTTCCTGTAGCAGTGCTGCCCTCAGAGAAGGCCCTGGGGACTGTGTGTATCTGCACGGTGACTGACCGATTTGTGGGTATAATTCGTAGGTCCTACTGGAGTAGGTGGGCCCTTAATCTAGTGTGACTTGGAATCCATTTTAGTTGACACAAATGAATGCCTCAGAAATGGTGGGACAGAATGAGTCCGTCCCCATAATTCATGAAAACAGATGCTCCTCATTTTAAACTACAGGAAGCAGGGAGGGAGCACAGCACTGCAGACAGGCGAGGAAGGGAGGGCAGTGGTCAGAGCTGAGGAAATTAGGAAGGCTTTTTCTGTTTCATGGTCCAACACTAGCTTCTCATCAACCTGGATTTCATTTCTGTAAGCTGAGAACACAGACAAGCTATGGGTCAGCCCTAATGATAAGTCCAAGGCTCAAAATGTGCAAGGTTTTAAATTAAAGTCATGACTTTCCCAAGACAAAGCTTTCTTTTCACTTTGATTGTACAGTGGACTGTGGTGTTTAAAAATAACTTTCCTCTTTTGTTGGTTTCTGCAGTCAGACAAATATCCTATTCAAGACACGGGACTCCCTAAAGGTAGGTACAATTAATATAACTACTTGAACTTGTGATTATTTTAATATCTTGAAAGAAGCACTAGTCAAAGTAATTTTTCATTATTTAAAATTGTGAAGCAGAAACATACCAGTCATTTAGTTCATGGCTTTTTTGATGATTGTCTCAGGCACGAATTTCCTTATTAAAATCTCTAAACTACTTTATAGCATTACACATGAAAGTCCTGTGGTGTTTTTAACATGCATAAAATGAAGACACCCAGGATTCTGGGTTGCAAGTGACAGAAACCTAACTCAAGTTCATTTAAAAAAAGTGGGGAGAGACGTACTGGCCTAAGGCCTTTGGCGCTGCTGACCCCAGCATTTGCAGGATGGCTCTGGCTCCCTCTCTTCCTCTCTCACGCTGTCTTCTGTCCTTGGCAGGCCTTCCCCATGTGGTGGGAAAGATGGTCCCTGACACCTGTAGCTTCCCCTAGTGCTGCTCAAGATGGTGGAGAGAGAGGGACCTCCCCTCAGCACCCATAGCACAATTTTAGGGACATATGTGACATGAGCAGTTTGGCCACGTGGCCATCACTGAATCAGTTGTGGTCACCAGGATGCTGGAGGACTTTGGCTAGGGCTGAGCCTTGAGGTTGGGTGGCTGGGGAGGGGGTATACAGTCATTTCCACCCAAACCACAGGAAAGCCGTTTCTGTTACCAAAGGAGGGATGCTTGTCAGCCCCAAAGCAAAAACAGGCCTTTCCTAGCCCATAGGGGGATGCTCAGGGACGGTGCAGATACAAAAGGGGCCTGCCTTTGCCTGTCCTAGTCGCCCTGTGGGCAGCCTGTGGGGCTGATGCCTCTTGGAGGCCAGGCTGCTGGCTGTCACGCTTTACCTTGTGCTTTCCTGACAACCTGGAGAGGAGGGAAGGGGAACACTCAGATCTGACCAACTTCAGAGCTGCCCCTCCTGCCCCCACCTTGCTTCCTGGAGAGGGAGGGCTTCCCAGCACACCCTGGGGGTTCCCAGCAGTGCCTGTGGTACTGGGTATCGGAGTCGCTGAAGCGGTGGGCAGGAGCTCCTGCCGGGGCCCACCTGTGCTTAAGTTGGGGCTCTGCCAAGTCTCCCCACCCCTCCAGTCCCTGCTCCCTAGACCTTTCCCCTGCTCCCTGAAATTACACCATTAGTTTTATTCCTTGTGCCTCCGTGGTGTCCCAGGAATGGCAGTGGTGTAGGAAAGACCAAGTGTGAGCCCCAATCCTGGCTATTAGGGAGCTCTGGTGAGCTCACTACCCCTGCCCCCCTCCATGGGTGACTCTCAGTGTCCTGAATCCCGCAGCCTATGGTTCTCTGGTTCTCAGGAGAGTGGCCAGTGCAAGCCTGGCAGCCAGGCGCAGATAGGAGGCAGTCTTGGGTAGCACTGGAGACTTCAGGGTGCAGCGAAGAATCATCTGGGGAGTTTATTTAAATGCAGATCTGGGCCCCGCTGCCCGCAAATCATGAGGAGTGGGTCTGGGGTCAGGCCAAGGAGCCTGCATTTTAACACTTGCCTAAGTGGCTGGGACCCAGACCTCACTTTGAGAGCCAGACTGAGGGGCTTCAAGAACTTGATGAGGCCTGTGGAAGAGAGATCGGGACTCAGCCACACTGCCAGCCTGAGTGGGCTCAGCGGTGCCTTCAGGCCACAGGGCCTGTTTCCCGTCTGTGGCCCAGGGAGGACACGTTAGCGTCCACCTCCCAGCGTGCTTGTGAGGAGTCAATGGACTGCGTCTGTGACGGTGCCTGACACACACGAGCATCAGACGGGTGGAGGGAATCTGGCAAAAGAATTGTGAAAATCAGGGTGGAGGGCTGGAGAGCTCTCTTAGCCGAGTGGCAGAGGGGGACTGTTTTAGAAACAGAATGAGCTACAGCGACTCTGGGAAGGCTCAGTCATGGTTCGATCTGTCTAAAGATCTTTTTATCACCCTTGAACCAGATTTCCTGTTTTGAAAGAAAAAGATTGTTGCTTAGCAACCCTGATACTAAAGCAACTACTATTGGGTTTCTCCTAGAATTTGAGTTTTGCAAAACCTTCATTAAAACGGTGATGAGTTTACAAGCAGTGCGGTTGCAGATACCATACACTAGATCTTTCTTCTGCTCTCATTCATGGGGAATCACATTATAAAGCACATAATTCCTTATCTCCAAAGAATTACGTCATTTTCTATGTAATGAGCCATGTCCAGAAGTTTAAACAGCATTTGCGTTCAATAATAGAGCAATTTAATGTCTGCTGGCATTTTTTGAACATACTGTAATAGGGCCGATATCATCATTAAATGTTTATGGTAATTTTCTCATTGAAGTTGTTTTTAGGAAAGAAAATCCATATGAATTAGTAAAGAGACTAATTTATAGATTTAAAAGTAAATGTATTCAAATCATATTAAGGACAAACTCTGACTCCAACTTTTAAGTGAGCTTTTGGAGGGCTACTTATTTAGTAAACGAGTCATTTGTAATTAGCTTGAGCAATTTCCATATGGTTACAAAGTCCTAAAAATTCATTTTCTGAAGCAGATGAAGCATGTTTCACAAAAACTTCACTATACTCCTGGTATGGTCCTACGTGTTCACCGACAATAGAAAGCTAATTCCTTAACGCGGTCCCAGCTGGAGTGATTTTGAATAATGTGGTTTTACTGTAGATCAGCTGTGGAAATCTAGTGTTGTTTTGGTGGTCAGCCTGTTTAAACATATCATTTTGACTGTTTCCTCATTGGGGACAAGTGTGTAGCTTCCGCCTCCCCTGACTGCAGAGATTCCTGGGGTTCACACTGTCAGGCCTCCTTTCTGGTAGGACACGTGTCCTGTGAGCATCTGAGGCCCTGAACTCAGGCGTAGTACAGGGTCGGGCAGCCGTCCTGGTCTCTCGTGGAAGGCGCTGGCTCAAGCGTCTGAAGGGAATGTGACTCCACATTGTGAGAGAAAATGCCTTTGGAAAAAGAATTCTGATTTTTGAGCCCCACTCTCTGTAATGAGGGGAAATTGCACATAAACACATCATAAGTCAATCTGGGTTTTAGCATCTTCATTTTTTTCTGGTGTTAATGCTCTTTCCTTTTATAGTTCAAAATTTTTATGGTGAATTTAGAGTTAGAAGAGAAGTAAAGTAGACTGATTTTGTTTTTAACACTATTGAGGAATTTGAGCTTAAGCATAGATGATATTTGGGGGCCTTCAGAACAGTTTGTTAACTGAATGTAGAAGTAGTAGTTCAAGTTGAAAAAAGTCAGAAGATAAACAGGTGCTAAGAAAATCACTAAAATAATTCAGAAGTAAAAATGTCTGCCCTAAAACTAGCAACTGAGCTGTTATGTTTCATACGCTTTCTCCCCTCGCACAGGGACAGCATTTTGTTAATAGGTTTTCTTGTTCAGGCTCGGAACTGGGCACCTGACCACCCGCATGGGTTGCTGTGCGTCCGGGTCCTGCTCATTCCGTACACTCCCTCGCACCCTTGACCGGGACTCTCTTGGGAATCCATTACAATAAACCAACCCCCCCCAAATTATGACTTGAATAATTTGCAGGAGACCCTTCTGCAAATTTTTTCTTTTGCAGAGGGCAAGGGAGAGGAGAGGGTACCACATAAGAGAATTTGCTATTTAAATACAAGTTACCATTGTATTGGGGGAAGATACTCCACTTTTACAAAAATGCCAAGTTGACTGTTCTGACACGAGCCACTGTGAGGGGTCACATGACCAAAGTCACAGGTCTGGGACGCTGCTGTGAAGATGCACTTTGGTCAGCGCCAGGCTCCGTGGAGTGCTTGTTGGGTGTCAGATTTCTGGGACGTCTGAGATTCCATAAGGCCTGGGGTGCAGCCCAGGAATCTGCATTGTTAACAAGCAGCCCAGGTGACTGGGGACTGTGCCTTGGGAAACGCAAGCCTGGGCAGGATCTCTGCTGCTCTAGCCCAAGAGATGTCACATAGAATCTCAGCAAAAGGCCACGGTTAGTTTAAATTTCTCAGATAATACTATTAAGAAAAAAAATTCCTTTTCTCTAGTCACAGTTGTGCAGGAGGAAGCGAGTATAGCCCCTTATTTGAACGAACCTGGCAGCCAGCCCTGCGCACAATAGGTGAATGAATGTTAATGAAAGTAAAAAATAAACGGATGAATCAATCTTTCATTCAGTCTCCACTTTTGAACCCTGAGTTAAATGAGTTTCTATTTGAGGCTTTATGACTAAAAATGCACACACACAAACCATTTCTTTTGTAACACTCTGCACTTCTGAGGTTAAAGAGAAAACTCTGATGGGGCGCCCTGGCCGGTGGCTCAGCGGGTTGGAGCCTCGTCCTGTGCACCAAAGGGCTGCGGATTCAGTTCCTGGTCAGGGCACAGACCTAGGTTTCGGGTTCGATCCCCAGTTGGGCGAGTATGGGAGGCAACCAATAGATGTTTCTCACATCAGTGTTTCTCTGTTTCTCTTTCTAAAACCAACAAACATATCCTTGGGTGAAGATAAAGAAATCTGATGGAGCAAAATCGTTTTTTGTTTTTTTTTTAACCTCACGGAGGATAATTTTTCTGTTGCTTTTCAGAGAGAGAGAGAGAAACATTGATGTGAGAGAGACACATCAATCGGTTGCCTCCCGCACGCGCCCTGACCGGGGCTGGGGATGGAGCCAGCAACCGGGGCGCGTGCCCTTGGCTGGAATCGAACCTGGGATCCTTCAGTCCGTGGATTGATGGTCTAACCACTGAGCCAAACTAGCTAGGGCACAAAATAGTTTTTTAATACGTCTGTACAAACGTCACCATGTGTTGGGGACCTCTGAGGTTAACACACGTAGGACAGCCTGGGGGTGGAAGTTCCTTCCTAACCATGCATGAACTTTGAAAGGTGTAGACATTGGTTCACACACATGTCATGATCCTTTGAGCTCCCTGGCAGTCCCCACTTTCACAGTAGAATGGAAAGGGCTGGGCTTTGGGGGATGAGCTAGCAAGACAGGTATAACCCCACTGCCTGCCACATGAAGGGCTTAGTAAAATGTCAGGTAGGTGAGTGACACAGTGAATTTGACACTGTCCATCAGAGGGGAGTGTGCTTTAAGTGCCTTTTATTTGCCCAGTCTGTGAGGGAGGGTCCTGCCTTGGGGTTATGGAGATGGCCAAGCACATGACACTTGACACTGGACAGGTGACGTCGACAGCCATTTACCAGTCACATCTCACAGCCTGGGGGAGACACTGCACACTATGCTGTGCGACAGTGTGACCGGCCAGGTGCTGTGGGAGACAGACCTGTAGTGTCCGGCGGGTGTGGTGTCCCCAGTCCCTGAGGGAGTATGGGTCAGTGTCTGAATAGTTCTGTGGGCTGGCGGGGAACTGGAGCCCACCACGCAGAGGTGGGCGGGGACTGTGCTGGTCTCCTGGTCACGAGTGATCTTTGGCGAGGGGCCCTCCGTGGAACCAAGAGCCATCCAGACCCAACTGATTTTGCCAGATGTCAAGGCAGCAGGTCATACGGAGTCTCAATTAGGCCTCTCACCAGGACCATACTTCTTACCAACCGTTGTGTCTTTTCCTAGTTGAAGAGTGTGAGCCGATTCCTTTGAACTGCGCAACAAATTCTGATGTGCACCATCAGGTAAGAATACTTTCAATCATGTCTTTACCCTCAGATATCTATAATCCAACTAAGTTTTTAATGAATTGTCTTCTACAGCTTTAAAAATAAAGAAAAACCGGATTTTTACATAATAGGTTTGGAAGTGACCTTTAAGTGGCCCAGTATTGTAGCATATCCCTGGAACTTGTGTTACTTGGAGTCACTGTGGCAGCCTGAACCCCTTCTGTGGAATAAATAAATACTTACCTATGTGCCAGAAACAGCCAATGTCAGTGAGCTGAGAAGGAGGGCTGCTTTCTTTCACAGGTAGTGAGTGGGAACTCTTTATTAAGCTATAGCAAAACTGGGTAGTCTAATAACATTTTTGTAATGTCTTATAAAACATTTACTTTTTTCAGATAGCAGAAATCAAACTAACATATTATTTTTATTGCCTTTTTCCAAAAAGCAAATACATTTATTGTTTTCTGGTTGTAAAAGAATGGTGGTTATTTTAAACTTCAGATAGGACAAAAATGCACACAAAAAAGGAAATTGCCTATCATTCCACTGTTCACTTTTTAAGGAACATTCTTCCAGAACCTTCTTTGGGCTGCTGTGTGATTCAGTTACTGTCCAGTCCATCTCTTTTACTCGCTCAAATCTCATTCGGAAATTGCATAATACCTCACATCTGCTAAATTTAGAGCATTAAGTGTCTCAGAAAGCATGTCTTGCTTCAAGATCGGTCCTCCTCTTTCTGTAATACCAGGTTAATTTTTTTTTAATCCTTACCTGAGGATTTGTTTATTGATTTTAGAGACAGGAGAAGGGAGAGAGAGCGAGAGGGCGAGAAACATAGATCGGTTGTCGCCCATACGTGCCCCGACCAGGGATCGAACCCCCAACTTTTTCGATGTACAGGACGACACTCAACCAACTTAGCCACCTGGCTGGGGCCCAGGTTAAACTTTAAAAGACAAAGTTGAAGTTCTGTTCGTCTGACCTGTAAAACATCAGCCTGTAATAAGTCATTGGATAGCCAAGTCACGTTAGTAATGAAGTGAAGTTCAGTACAGTTGATGGGACTGACGGTTCGAGTTATAAATGCAGCTCTCTTGGAAGTTGTCAGTGATGCTGCTTTCACCTGATTTGTGGGTCTTCCGTCACCCACTGTGCATCTTACTCGTATTTGTTAATGTTGACGCTCAGCGTTTTCCTTGGAATTACAATCCAGTGGTTGACTTTGACACGGAACATGAATTATTTTAGTAAACCTAATGTATTCCTTTTTCCTTTCTTACAGTTCTTAATTTGTTTACCAAAGTTTTCTTCACATTTTTTGTGACGTGACCCAGACTCACTTGTAGATACAAGAATGCTACATTGTTTAGTTTGCTTTCAGGGATTTTCCAAAGCCATTTAAGATTAGGTGCAGAATATGCGTTAGGACACTGTACAGTGTTTTTTCTAATTTCTGTGTTCTAGTTCTTTCTATGTGAAGTAAAGACATCCTAAAAGATGAAAAGGTACTTATCAACTAAAAAAAGTGGGGCGAGGTCCCCCCCCAGCTCTGTTTTAAAATAGAATGTCTTATATTCCTACAAAAAGTAGGCCTGTCCCTGGCTCCTTCAGGTGGTTATTTCTTTGTCTAATCTACGGGATTTGTTCTAACGGCTCGATAGCCAGAAAGATTCTTTGAAACCAACTTGGCAGCCAGAACAAAGGGGACTCACTAGGGGAGAAACGTTTAAAACAAAACAAAACAAAAAACCCACACTCCATTTTCTGCAGCTTAGACAGTGAAAGCAAGCTGAAAACGTGTTCTTTAGAGTACTGAATATTTGTTGTTTTAATCATTTTTACAACTTAAAACCTACAGTCATCTTCTACAAAGACTGACTTTTAGCTGCCTTGTGGTAATAAGGCAAAGGAAGAACGTTTCGGGGTCAAAAATTAAAGTCTGACATCTCAGACAAGATTTCATAAAGAACCCTTTACTTCCTGTAATTTACAAGTGATGCCCATATACGAGGGCTGCCCAGCGCCTCTGATTTACTCCAGCTGGTACTTACTGTGCTCTGAGAGCAGCCCGACTGGGTGCCCTTGGGCATCGAAGGAGCCAGAGGCCGGGAGAGGGGACAAGACCCCAGCAGAGCTCACAGGCTTGCTGAGAAGCCTGCACACAATATTTGATTCGTGTGTTTAGACATTCCAAGGGCACTTTACATTAAAGAAAACATTTCCCAGAATGTTTGTCAACCAGTAAAGTTTTTACTACTGTAACTACATCACAACTATATGGCAGTGATAGTAAAACCAAGTTCCAGTGTAGCCAGGAATCCACATCAAGGAGAGTCTGAAATTATAAGAAAAATAGTAAATATTAGTTTGCTAAGTTGGGGTTACAGGTTATGGAAAGAATGACATTTCCTCTATTCATGTTGTTTATTTAGTTCTACCAAACTAATGCTTTTGTGTTGTTGTTGTTTTAAGTTTTCAAAACCACATTCAATTCTTGGCTCACTTAGTTGTGACAAAAGTGCAGTACTCATGTAAGATGTTAATAAGGGAAACTGGGCGTAGGGGAGGCTGGGACTCTCATACTCTCTTTTCAAATTTTTTGTAAATCTAAAACTATTCTAAAATACAAATTTACAAGACCACACTAAGTAAACTTTAGAATCTAGGAAAATGAAAAAAATCACCCCCAATTCTAGTATTCCAATATAGCTATTCTTTATGTATTCCCATGTGCAGTTTTTTATGGATAAGTATAAAAACTGGAAATAAGTGTGTATCTTGCTTTTGTTACATAAAATTATCTCATAAGCATTTTACCCAGTTTGCTCCAAGCCCTCACCCGCAGCGGGAAGGGCTGCATGGTGTCATCCCTGACCCAGAATCAGGTTCCAGGGAGTGTCTGTGGGCAGGGGGCACCTCTGGGAGGAGGAGTGGTCTCAGCCAGGCCAGGGTCAGCCAGTGTCAGAGTGAGCACCTGGGGCTGAAGTGTGGGAAGATTGTATTAAAAAAATAAGTTGGGTCCCAGGGCCTAGAATGCCAGAGACTGGATGATGGAAGGTACTGGGGTCTTAAGTGACAGCCCCATGACCATTCCTGGGACCTGGGGGAACTCAGGAGAAGACTCTTCTAGCCTGTGATGGGGAGATGGGTGCAAGTGGAGAATTCTGGAAGATCATCTGACTTGTGTAACTGTTAGTATTGCATTTGTTTGTTTACAGGTTGTGAGAGAGGAGATAAAGGTTTGTGGAGTTTGGGGTGTGTGAGATTTGGGTGATGTCCAGTAAGTGGTGGATGGTGCAGCCCAGGTCCTGGCTCAGGGCTCACGTGTCAGGAGGTTGCAGGTGAAGCCCTGGGAGTGGATGAGACTGTCAGGGAGGGGGTCCTCATAGAGAAGCAGAGAGCCAGGGATGGCACCTTGAGGATCATCCTGCTTTAGAGGTCAGAGGAGGTGCAGGAGCCCAGAGGCAGCGGAGTGGCCAGGGCAGGAAGCTGTGAGGTCTCGTGCTTCGCTTCATAGTTTTAACTTCTCCACTCCCAGGGCACAGTTACAGGTGTGCGGATGATTTCATTGCCCCTCCCAGGAATTAGACCATGACCCACGAGGGCAGAGACTGCTGTGGATTTTGCTGAGTTGCAGCCTTGTTGCTGAGTACATAGTAAGTCTCAATAAATATATTGAGACAGAATAAATAAATAAATAAATAAATAAATAAATAAATAAATAAAGACAGAAATAAATAAAGACAGAAAAAGGCCAGGATTGGGCATTGCTTCAGGTGCCAAGGACAAGACTCAGTATCCTAGGGGCACAGCATGGCCAAGGGCCATGACACACTGGGTTTGTCCACTCAGATGTCGCTGGGACCTTTCAGGAAGGAAATCGGTCGTAGGTACAGAACATAATGCCAGGCTCTAGGGGTAGGCGAGTCATAAGAAACTACTGTCCTGTCAGATCCATTAAGGTAGCAAGGAAAAATCCTAACCTCTCATTTGAGGGTGTCGGAAATTCCAGAAAAAACTTTCGTTTTTGGCCTGGGAAATGTCAGATTTTAAAGGGTAGGGTGTCACTGGGAGTGGAGAAGTTAAAACAGATGAGGAGAGAAATGGAATAATTAGCTGGTTTACTTTCCCTGTGGACGGTAGAGAGGATTCATTTTCTTAGCAAATATTTATTGATAACATACTTAGCAGTGTTTTGTGGAGGACACATGACACGTTGGCCTCCCTAAGGGACCTGTGATCTGGCAGGGAAGTTAAGATGTATGCACACAGATGCCAGATAAATAAAGTTATCAAAGGCACAGAGAAGGGAGCTGGAGTTTTAAAAGCAAGAACCTCCACTCTTTTTTAGAGACAAGACTAAAGGAAGGCAGGATGGGTAAAGATACAAACGTTTTTTTTAGCTATGAAGACAAGAAGGCGAGTTAGCGACGTCCAGTCTGAGCTGAGCCCTGAGCGATGACATCTGGATGGGGCAGGAAAGGAGGAAACGCAGCAGAGATATTAGGGAAGAAGAGCTTGTGCTGTTGGTCCAGTGGTGAGGCCACAGGCCCTGGGGAACTAGGCGGTGGGGTGATGGTGCTCGATAAATTGTAAATGATTACAAGGGGGCAGAGGAGGAAACATGCACGCATCCCTCCATCCATCAAGGGGCTGAGAGCCAGGAGTGTGTAGGTAGCACTCGCGCGGGTGCTGGGATACAGTGGCCGGTGCTCAGAGCTTACGGTCCCCGTAGCAGCTGCCGTCCTGCCAGGAAGGCCGGGTGGGCGTGCGCATGCTGCAGGAACAGAGGAGGCTGTTTCTCGCAAGGAGGCTGAGAAATGCTGCTCAGGTTCCTCGGAACCTCAGCATGTGCATGTGAAGGACTGAGTTCCTGCACCAGGGAGGCCGATGGCTGTAATAGAGGCTTGTTACTGCCACCCGTGGGTACCGGTCAGCCCTGTACCCGTGCTCCTCTAACCCTCTGGGACGGGTGGAGGGCTGCAGGGCCAGGCCTGAGGTGGGGCTCAACCCCC